AAAAAAAAAAAAAAAATTTATTATATATAATACAATTAAGGAGTTCTGGTGTCTAACATGTAAGACATTGAACTTAAAGGCAGCCAGTTTGAATCCACCAGCTGCTCTGTGGAAGAAAGATGCGCAGTCTCCTCTCATGCAATTTTTAGCCCCTGAAAATTGGCTGAAAGGCCAACTATAAGTCAGTTCTGAACCACCAGCACATAAAAACAAAAACAAATAATACAAAGTTAGTTGAGAACATGTTCATACTATATTAAGCTGCTTTAATGTTGGAATGAACGTTAATGTAGAAGACAAAATAGTAATTAAGATAGTTCAGGTTGGTATTATTGTTGAGTAAATGATAAGATCTTGGGCAAATTAGACTCCCTTCTAGAGCTTCTCATTTCAGACTAGGCTTTTGACATTATGGAGTTCCTGTGAAGCTCAAATACACACATACCTATTTAAGAGATACATACCCAGAAATAGGAAATATGACTGCCAAGGTTAAAGAATAATAAAGAGTTCAAACAGGAACTTTGGTGATGTAAGCTGCTGCACTATTAACCAAAAGAGTAAGGAGTTTCAGATACAGAGCAGCTCTCCAGGCAGGTAAGGAACTAGACGAGACGAGTCCAGCATAAACATGCACAAGAGTCATGGGAGTTAGTAGACTCAGGATAGTAGAAATAAGAAAAACTGAAACGTTCTTCCTCGAGGTAAAGCAGGGTTCAGAGCTGTGGTTACAGGAGAGTAAGGCTACAAAGGAAGCGAGAAAACCCCAAAGAGAGTAAGAGAGGGAGAAAGCAGATGCCTTAGGCACGATGCAAAAAGATTATAAAATTAAAGAGGAATGGTGGAAGAATGATGAAGCCATTCTATGTTTGTTAACTGTTAACATTCAAAGAGCTTCAAGCACAGAGGCAGGCAAAAGAGAGGATTTGAAGAGAAAAAAGAATGGAAGGGATCCTTCAAAAAAATTGTGCCTGTAAGGGCTCAAGTCATGGGAAATGTACAACTGCTGGAATAACATTTTATGGTAGGAATCTTCACTGTTAATTGGGATGAAAGGAAACAATCCATGGGAATTAATTGTTCTTGTTGTTATGTGCCGTCGAGTCGCTTGCGACTCATAGCAACCCTTTGTACAACAGCTCTAAACTCTGCTCTGTTCTGTGCCAATCGCACTGTCTCCGCCACACTCATCCCGATTGCCCCAGTCACTGAATCAATCCATCTCACAGACGGCCTTCCCCTCCTCCGCCTGCCCTCCACCCTTCCAAGCATGATGTCCTTCTCCAAAGACCAGTCTCCTTTACAACATGACCAAAGTATGTCAGACGAAGCCTCAGAATCCTTGCCTCCAAGGAGCAGCTCAGTTTAACCCTCTCCAGGATGAATCTGTTTGTTTTCCGAGCAGCCCATGGTATCCTCAACACTCTGCTCCAACACCAAAGCTCAAAAGCATCGATTCTCCTTCTATCCTCCCTGGTCATTGTCCAGCTCTCTGATGCATAACAAGTGATTGTAAAAACCATGGCCTGTACCAGACGCACCTTAGTCTCCAGAGACACACCGTTGCTCTTGAGTACTTTAGAGAGGTCCTTAACAGCAGAATTTCCCATCACAATACATCTTTTAATTTCCTGGCTGCTGGTGCCAAGAGTGATGATTGTGGAGCCAAGCAGACTAAAGCTGTGTACAATCTCAATCTCTTCACCATCCATCCTGATGCTGCCAATTGGCCCAGTGGTGAGAATCTTTGTCTTCTTGA